ACTACTGTTCTATACATGAATATTGTACTACCTTAACTATCTAATTAGTATATCACCATTAAATTGTCGTCAAGTCGTTGGTTGTACATATAATTATTTCACAAATAAATTATTTTGCATAGTAATATGACATGAATCAATTCTTCCGCTGTTACTGTGCACAATAATTTTAAGTGTAAAATAATTATATGCACTACCGTTGGCTTGCTAAATCGACAAGCGTGATTAAGCACTTCTTATTGATTAACTAATACTCAAATTTAATAAATCTGTTGTTAAAATTTAAAATTAAAGTCAGGGACTTCTAAATGCATTTTTTTCATTTCAGAATTACTTAAGGAAAGTAAAAAAACCAATAAATAATTAAAATATCAAAACTTCCATCTGTAACTGACAAATCATAACTAATAGAGGCTTCACTTCTCAAGATTTTCTTTTTGAAGGATGTAATGACACCTTAAACGTGAATGGTTTAACTGTGCTATTAAGTCATAATATAAATGTCAAAAACAAATTACTTTTCACTGGTGAAAAGCCCCATATTTTGAATATCAGTGATATTTTACTAGCATTCAGTCAGTTTTTAAGAAGTCTAAATTATCTAGCTTTATTAATAGTAGATAATACTATATTTACTCGTAATGCTAAAAGAATTATCAAAGCTATTGTGCACACAAATTTGCAAGATGTATTTCAACCCAAAGTACTTACATTTACAGATATACTTTATATTTGAGAAAGGTTTAGCCTGACGGAAAGGGTCCAACTATGTTTAAGTTGACAACTTTAAATAATAAGTTTTTAAATGAAAGTGCCAGTGACATGTGATGTTCGTATCACTTATAAATAAAAATAATTCGAACTCTCGTAATCTAGCTAATGAGTAAGAATTTGTTTCCGATGATTTTACTCTAATTGTCAAGAAAATAGATAAATGAAATAAATATAACAAATAAGTAAATCAAATATACATAAGTAATTGCAAAATATTGAGGAAAGTCAGACAATGCCCTAGTTTCTTATGGTGCGAATTGTCCCATAAGCAGAGCTAGAGTCTTTCTTGGATAGGATATAATTCGGCCCAAGTTTCTTATAGCGCGAAATGTTCTATAAGTCGAGCTCAAATTATAAGGAAAGGTTAGTCTTGCTTAGTAAATCACAATGAGAGAAAGAACTTAGGCGTTAATCCAAGTTTATTCAGACTCATGCGCTCACTTTGCAAGGCTAGAAGTGAATGAATCTAGCCTGTGCAAAGGTGGGCCTATTTATACACAGATTTTCCCGCTTATTATGGCAGGAGAGATTTCATCGAAAATTCGAGAGACATTCGCGAATTTTGAGAAATGATTTTTCTTCATTTACAAGTAAATAACCATTAATATTAAGTTTTTAACACATGTAAATTTTACAGAATTAGTTATTTGTTGATTTTATACAATATACAATTATCGCCAATAGTGTCGTCAAAAGTTATTAACTAATAAAGTTAATTAACGTGATATTACATTATTTACAATAGAAAATTATTAAAATTTCATATAACTTTATAGTTAATTAATTTTGGAAGTATTTTCCAAAATTAATTATTTAAATTAATTAATAACATTTGAATTATGACTAATTTTTCATATTTGTAACGGTTTTCTTCTAATCTTAATATGCGATTATTAGATTTATTATCTAAGATTTCTAAATCGTAAAGTTATCATTATCAAGTATTAACTTAATATTTTCGTTCTATATATAGTTTATTGTTTAAATAAATTATTAATTGTTTATTTATTAATAACAGTTGTTATTTAGCTGTTATTAATGAAACCAATTCTTACTCATGTTCTATGCTTATTCATTTTACATATAAATTATTTATATTTTTCTAATATTTCATATGTTAATAAATAAATTAACTTTACATATTGATATTCATTATTAATTTATAATTGAATAAGATATTGTGAATCTGTATGTTAAAATCTATGTAATCGATACTTTGTTATATTCAAATTATCTATAGTTAACATATTTTTCTCAATATTATGGATCATTATATCTATGTCTATTATTTGTGACGTCACGCTATTTGTTTTGACTCGACTCTTATTTGTCTACAGTCGCGTAAACAGTGAGGTAGCGCCGCTTAATGTATTGTTTTGACTAACAGATAAATACGTTAGACTAGTTGCAGTCATTTAATAAACAGCTCAAAAATAGGACCGTTACAGACAGGGATCATGATTCTTAATACGATGTTGATATTCTACAAAAATTATTTCGCCTTTTTGAAAAAAAATTCTTTTCCAATTAAAAAAAGTTATGCTTATATTGAAAAGGAAGTGAATACTCATATGATTGCAGAAAATGTATTTTTATTAAATTATTAAATGATTTAATAGGATCTCTAACGGTCCAGTCTGATTTGCCTTTTCTCCCACTGCAAAATAGCAACCCGTCGTACACAAGAAAATTAAAGAAAAGCGGTACTTGAGCGAAGGCGCTCTTCTTATATACATGTAAATGTGTTAGGATAATTCGGTGAAAACAAGACCATATAAGGAACGTGACGTCACGAGCGTGGGAAAATTATTGTTTACAATGCAAAATCGACAATTGCAAAGTTTTTTCTAATGAACAAAAGCATTTTTCAGTCAATTTTTATGCGCTGATCTCGAATCTCAAATTATTATAGTCATTAAATATGTATTTGTTAGTTTAATTTAATTTACAAGTAAATATTGCTAATAATTTTGCAATAAATAAATATATTGCAAATTCGAGTATACAACCGTGATCGTAGTGCATTAAGACAGAGAAGCAATATTTTGACACTTTGATAACTGATTTTTGACTGAGTTATCAATAGATAAAAAATTTATAATTTATTTAAACAATTAAAATTGCGTTGCGAGATAGCGATTCGACTGTATATATCTATCAAATTAATGATAATGATTGTTATCCATTTGTTGATTTTATAATGGTTAAAGAGAAATTTACAAATTTGTTTTTTAATTATTATTCAAAAATGGATAGTTAAGCTAATCGCTTTTATTTTGAATAATGTTCCACTTATCACAAGCGATTTTTTGATGTAACAATTTTCCATCAATTTATTGTAAATTCTATGCTATTTAAATATCTAACTTAAATCACTTACAATTTTAAGAGGCGATTTTTCCTTGAGAAACGATTTATATTAAAAAATTTGTTATTCTATACTTGATTTTTTAAATCATTAAATTTCAATTTCGATCGAACCATTTTGCGACAAAACCTGTACAAAGTTTATGCTAACATCAAAAATATCGTTGTAGGGGCTACCAAGCGTAGAAAGGAGCCAATTTCGCAAGTATAAATTCGCTCGTCGTTGCGGCAAGAGGATTCATTATCCTACCTTGCTTAGCAGCGCGAGCATTGAACGAAATAAAGACTCAGCTATTTTCTGAGACTGATTTCATTATTCAGTGGTTAGCCTGCTAATTCCTTTACCTTACGATAATCTAAGCGCTTAACTCATAAGACTCTCTCTCTCTCTCTTATAAGAAAAAAGTAGCCTTAGACTATCTCCTCTACGAAATTAATAATTCCCTAGAAATTAAATTAAATATTCGTTACGGCGCTGTCGGGCTTCTCCTCGATAGATGCAACAATGCTCAATTGTATTTTAAACGGCTCATCGAAACAGTGAATACTGTGTTTGCTATTCGGTGATTATTGAAATATCAATACTTATAGAGCATTCACGTGTCAATTTCTTGTTTACTCTCGGAACCGCGATTACAAATAAAACAATTAGAGTTCGAACTATTTACTCTGCTAACATAAAATCAAACGTTGCAGATCAGTATCCGGTGCCATGATTAAGCAAATGGTTAAGAATAATATTACTTATGAATCTTTATCATTCACACAGAAAAAAAGAAAAAAACGAGGCATGAAAGATAGTTTATATGAAAAAATGCATAAAAGAAAGCCTGGAATTATCAACCACAAAGCCATTATAAATAAAATTGTGTCTAGCCTACAGTCTTCAAATAATAAAATAACTCTATTATATGCTAAGTTTATCACCAAACTCCTTGTTTTCATTATCTTAACCTTAGTTCATTATCACACTTTATACATTTCTGTGCTCATAAAATATGTTAAATATTTCTCATAATAATTTTTTTAGAATTTATTTAAAATTTTTAAAAGAGATCTGTGATGTAATGATAAATTTGCATGAGTAATAAAACAGTAGTATAAATCTACTTTAAAATGTACAGGTACTCTAATCTAACAACGACTGTATTTGACGTTGCCAAATCTTAACTTATAAAAATTTACGAGTACTTCATCATTTGCTACTCTTGAAAAATTGCTAACTTCTGATTTAATTTATTAACAAACGTTACGGATGGCATATTTGAGGCAAATATAATACATCCGCAATACAACAATTTATATGCTCCTAGCTTTTCGTAAGGATTACAAATAAAGCTTTTTTAATCAATGAAAACGTTATTCGTTAGAGGCTGTAGGTAGGGTTTGTATGTTAAGATATCCAACTATAAAACCTTATAACTTTTTTTTGTAACGGCTGAGTTTTTTGAGATGAAAATATGATAGATCAATAATTATCTATTCCAAATTTGAACTAGATTGTAAATAGATAAATTTTTACATAAACTATCTTAACCCAACATTTATTGAGATTTTGAAGGATTTGCGGCAATATCACTGAAGGGGAAGACTTAGAAGCACTGAATGAAAGATTTATATTTTTTATAAACTTTTTCGTAGCTCAGCGAAGTATGGTTGAAAAACTAGATTTCGTGGAACTTTACTATTTTAGTAATCTATATTTACTGAAAATTTGTACGAAAGTTTTAATGTAAAAAGATGTATCGGTAGTCGGAGAATGCAAATATGGATACAACTTATATTTTTTGAATATTCTACTCACACCTTTTTCCTAAAGACCACAAGTAATAGTTGTAAAGATAAAAGATTACCCATACCTGATGTCTTGGACGACCAACAATTGATGGAAAAACTGCTCGAGGAGCATCATCTCCAGCAAACCCAGCTTTGCACATTCCAGATCCGTTATCGACTACAAGGGCCGCAACATCATCGTCGCACATGTTTGATAATTAAAAATTACCTCCTCGTCTGCAAGAAGAAATTGATATTTTTAATTAATTAAATAGTATATTTCGATTACTGTGTGAGATAATAATTTGATCATCGTGCGGATGTTTCCCCTTAACCCATTAACGACCAAAATACTCAATTCTTTTGTCGATTTTCAACATGTTTTTTTCGATAGTCGTAGGCCTAAGAAATTTTTGCAAACACGTATTTGGATGGGAAATTTAACGCTCTTTCAGAATCTTTTTTCAAAATTGCGATTTATTGCGTTATAAAAAAGTTATAGCCAATTAAACAATAAAAACCTGAAAAATTTTGCGAAAAATCAAGTTTGCGATTTTTTTTAGCAAAGTTACCGCTAAAAAATCATCAAACAAATATGATCAGAGGTGATCACGACTATCAAAGTATCTCCAGGAATTTTGGTGGAATTTTTGAACCACTTCTTCCAACAAAATGGTGGCAAAATAAAAAAAAATCCATAAAAAATATTTCTTATTTTTTATCTCGGAAACCATTAAGTTTAGATGAAAAGTTCATTCAACAAAAAAGTCTTAGAATTAAACGAGAAATACGCCTGAATTTTTTCAGAATTTTCCGAGGCGATTTTTGAATTTTCGGAGAATACGGAAAATCCATTTTCCAAAATCATCTCCAAAAATTCTGAAAAAATTCATGCGTGTTCCTTCATAAATTCTAAGACTTTTTGTTCCATAAACTTTTTCTCCAAACTCAATAGTTTTCGAGATAAAAAGTGAGTTAGGTTATAATCCTAGCAGCGTTAATATTTTTGATACAGAATAAAGAACAGCCATTCAACAATAATATAATAATGTTTTGCCTTTTTATGTGTATACAAGTGCAGTTCGTATAGCGTATACTAATATACACATATCAAAAAAGCAATTCAGAAAATTGTATGTGAGCTCATTTTTATTACTTACTAGTCTCTTGTTATTTTGAGACCATACAGTAAATCGAATCGGAAAGATTATTTTCGCTTTCTAAAGTCTAGGTTTGACAAGAAGCATTAAAAACTGTAGTAATTATTTTCATTAGGTATTTTTATTATTTTATATAACATGTCGCAAAAACGTAAAAGACGTTCCACTCGCTCCCATTTCGTATGAAATGTACGAAATTGATACTTCAAAGAACACTTACGATGATATACGAGTAGTTACCCTTCCAAATCCTGACAATTCTGGTTCTGATTAATCAGATTTCGATACTGATTCGGATGATGAAATTTCTAATATAACGTACACAGAAGCTTGTAAAACATATGCTGAAACTTAAACTAAATTAGAAAGAACGCATGAACTCCAGTGGATGGAAGGAGAAAAAAAGTATAATGATAATTTGAAAGACAAAATTTTATTGAAAGACTCGGTAAAAAATAAAATACAAGAAATGGAGCCAGTAGAACTTTTTGAAACATTTTTCTCAACTGAAATGAAGCAATATATGCTTGCAAAGAAAATAATTTTGATTTAAAGTTAAAAGACTTAAATACATTCGTGGGAATAATCATTTTGACTTCATTCAACAAAAGGAAATCTCAGAGGGATTACTGGTCACGTGATCCCTTTTTATCTTGTAACGTTGTTTCTTCTGCTATGTCACGTAATAAGTTTGAAGAGATCAAATCAAAATTAAAATATTTACAAACGAAAGATAAAAATCCAACTGACTATGCTTGGCGTGTCCGTTCACTATTAAACCTATTTAAAATTAATATTAAGAAGTTCGGTGTGTGGAGAACTGCTCTTTCCATCGATGAAATGATGGCTAAGTCTTATGCGAGGACGGTTCTAAAACAATTCATTCGAGGAAAACCCAAACGATTTGGTCACAAATTCTGGGGTCTTTGTACTTCCGATGGTTTTGTATTAGGTCTTGACTTATACTGCGGAAAAAATTCTACAACGGGAAGTAAATTTAGTAAGTGTGCATTAGGTTCTCGCGTTGTCATGAATTTACTAGAAAAGTTTTTTCGTGGTATACCTCCGGGCAAAATATCTATGTTCCATCTTTATTTTGATAATTATTTCACAAGCTTAGATCTCGCTGTGCATTTGAAGAAACTTGGGTTAAAATGTACAGGTACTATTAGAGAAGATAGAGTCAAAGATAAAAATGTTCTAAATAAAAAAGCTCAAAGAGGTGAGTATGCCGTGAAGCACGATAAGAACTGTAGTATAAATTACATCCCTGTGATGGATTCAAAACCAGTTTCGATTATTTCTACTGCTGCAGGGGTAACTCCATTATTCTTTTCAAAGAGATACAGTAAGCAAGAAGAAAAAAAAGTTGAAATACATTTTCCGAGGGCTATTAGCGTCTATAACAGTTTTATGGGTGGCAATGATGTCCACGACGGACATTGTAACAATTTACTTCCGAGTATTCGTTCAAAAAAATGGACGTAGATAGTTTTTTTAAGACTAATTCAAGCTTCGATTGTAAATGCTACTGTACTATTCAATGCTGTCAATGATGAGAAAAAAAGGGTTGGAACAAAAGATTTTGCACTTTCAATAGCTAAAAATTACATGACGCAGAGACAATGCAAAAAAGAGAAACACAATATGTCCAAACAAACAAAACTCAAACTTTGTTCTTATTGTCCCATAAGAACGAGAATTATCTGTGTTATCTGTGAAAAATGTGATTTATCGATTTGTGTTGAATGTTTCAAAAAAAAAACACTGAAAAATTCGTATTGCAGTGAGAGGCAAGGGGACTCACTCAAATCAAGCACCCCAAAGGAGACAAAATTCTACTACGTCCTCGTCGTTATCTCTGGGTCATGCTAAGAGTAGAACGTTTTTTATCTCGAAAACTATTGAGTTTGGAGAAAAAGTTTATGGAACAAAAAGTCTTAGAATTTATGAAGGAACACGCATGAATTTTTTCAGAATTTTTGGAGATGATTTTGGAAAAATGGATTTTCCGTATTCTCCGAAAATTCAAAAATCACCTCGGAAAATTCTGAAAAAATTCAGGCTTATTTCTCGTTTAATTCTGAGACTTTTTTATTCAATGAACTTTTCATCTAAACTTAATGGTTTCCGAGATAAAAAATGAGAAATATTTTTTATGGATTTTTTTTTATTTTGCCACCATTTTATTGGAAGAAGTGGTTCAAAAATTCCACCAAAATTCCTGGAGATACTTTGATAGTCGTTATCACCTCTGATCATATTTGTTTGATGATTTTTTAGCGGTAACATTACTAAAAAAAATCGCAAACTTGATTTTTTTCAAAATTTTTCAGATTATTATTGTTTAATTGGCTATAACTTTTTTATAACGCAATAAATCGCAATTTTGAAAAAAGATTCTGAAAGAGCGTTAAATTTCCCATCCAAATACGTGTTTTCAAAAATTTCTTAGGCCTACGACTACCGAAAAAAACGCGTTGAAAATCGACAAAAAAATTGAGTATTTTGGTCGTTAATGGGTTAAGCGAAACGAGTGTGACATGGCCTTTTTTTTAGGGTTTCTGAAGCTGAAAAGTCGGGACTTTGAAGAGATGCTGCCCAGAGAATATAAATACCGTAAGCTCGCTCAAAATAAAACCCTTAATTTTTCATTATTAGATTTTCCGTCTTTCTATCTTAATTTACAAACTATGCTTTGTCCTGTAACGTCGGGCCGTTTATTATCAATAACATTTTTTTTGAGTACTTTTGCGTGTATGCGCATTTAATACGTGACTTAGATTTTAACTCTGTGAGTGAGAAAAAGGAGAGCATTCAGCTGAAGCGGCAAAAGAACACATGAAAACACCCATCCCTTTGTCAAGCACTTTCCGAATTTTACTCCGAAAGATCGTAAAGTTTTTTTTGAGTAGGTTTAGAGATAGAGTAAAGGAGCCGCGGAATTCTGCCTGCATCCTGTTACACGACAACTCCCAAAAGTTTCCACTTTTAGAAGCTAAAACTTTTACCATAGAGAAAAAATCTAATAATTATTTTTGTATAAATGAATTGAGAAAATAACAGCATGATAGGAGAATTTCGCAGCTTCTTAAAACCTCCCGCACACTTTTTGATTAAAGACGTAGTTTCCGCACAATTAACGAAAATATCCAAAAGTTTTGAAGCTATAAGTTGGAAAATTTAATAAATATTCAGAAAACAATTACATAAATGAACTATAGTACATTAGTCAAACATGCGACATAAATTAAAATTATGTTTGTAATAAATAGAATTGAATTTTATTAGATAAAATAATAAATACAAGTTTTTAACAATTTTCCTTTTACGTTCAAATATTTAAATTAATTGTGCAGAAATTAAGTTAATCAAAGAGCCAACACAACTCAAATAAACGAAAGAAAAAGACAACAAGACATTTTTTGTTACAATAAATCAATTAGATAGTCCACAATCAACTATATATATTAAGCTTCATGTAAACGAATGCGATTCCTAAATAATGCAAAATTTCTCCTTTCTCATTCCATATTATTTAAACAACAGATTTAGTTAATTATTTAAGTTATTCATTGTAAACGCGTAGGATTAGAGATTTTCGCACAAAATATGTTTAGATATTAATAAAACTGCGTTATTATTAAGAATTAATTATAACAATTTATGTAAAGGAATAAATTAATAATTATAAGAAAATTTGTGACGAAAATGGTACTTGGAGAGCCATCTAACGAGATAGGGCCCATACCCTTGAACGCCCGCCCCCGATTCTCACCACGCCCCTGAACCAATTAGGGCCCGAAAACTGAAAGAGAATAGTGGGAAAATCTCAGTCAGCCAATTAAAATTTGCTGCCATTTCCACTCTTCCCAAATTTTGAGGGACTGAAAGAGGGATTATCCTCCCAACCACCCCCAGGCTTTAAAAGGGCGTGTGCGAACGAAAAGCACTCACTCTCGCTTTTCCAGCTCTCCAGTTTTTTTATCTTGTTCTACAAAGTTCGACCAAGTGCCAGGTCCAGATTTAACTCTCCAAGTACAAAACAATTACGAAGAATAAAAAGAAAAAGTAAGT